CTTTTTTGATGACATTCTATACTATGACCTTTTTTGATGACATTCTATACTATGACCTTTTTTGATGACATTCTATACTATGACCTTTTTTACATTTTGATGACATACTAAACTATGACTTTTAATGCCTTTGACATCTTAATGTCATACTATAACTTCTTAAACCATGAGTACTTCTTGGATCAATGAGTGAAGGTGTAACACTGATTCTTTTTTTTTTTCCGGCCTCCAGTTCAGAAACTGCATGATCACCACGGTATGCTGCGGAAAAAATCCATTTGGAGGCGACGAGGGCACCACCGCTTCCACCTCCAAAACTCAGACTTCGTCCGTCTCATCCAGTCAGGTGGCCCCCGCTTGACAGGGACCCCCCTCCTCCCCAGTCAATGTCCCATCTGCCCTTGCACACCTTGGGACCTACCACTGCCAAGCAGCACTATGTTCTATTGGTCAATCCTCTTGACTTACCTCTCCATGTGTCTTCACTGCACCGACACAACCACGCATTTGGTGGGACTGATGTACTCAAGAGCCAGCTCGTGTATTTTCAATCCATTCAATCATGGAAAGTGTTCAGCTGGCTGCACAGAGTGTAACCCGGCATCAAGGGGGTGTCGTCCATGTGATTATCCAGCTGACCGCATTCCAAGCTCCCCACTACCCAAATACACATAATGGGTGAAAACACACCATGCCGCATGAGTTCATCCACATCAACTCTTGTTCAAGTAATTGCAGCTATATATATATATATATATATATATAAATCCCCAAAATGCGCTTTAAACAATCCATTTTTTGATCACTTAGTTGAAGCTAGTTATGAATTTCTTTAGATGTATCAGACGAGGTTTTAAGGCATCGGGTGGGGCTGTCCTCTGATCTTCATGGTGTTGGAGCTGGGGTTGTTAGTTTGCTCTTGGCATTGACTGAGACAGTGAGTGTAAACGGATGGACCTGAAAACAGCCTCTGCAGGGACAGGGCGCCTCCTGCAAGAGCGTGGATGTGTGCGTGTATGTATCGGAGGCTTGTGTTGTCAACACGCCTGTGTATTAATGAGGAATGGGGGTATTATTTTGATTATTGTGTGAAGGCTAGGATCTTGTGGAAGTTGTTCTGTATCCTGCAATAAAGATAAAGCTAAATATCTGCATGACTCCTTTTCCTTAACTGGCATCATGAGAACCTTTACAAGACTCTCTGAGGAGTTCCAGATGCTCGTCTGTGTGCTTTTGGGTGGCGGGTCAGATCTTAATGGTGTTCAAATGTTCAAATTTGCTACGTTGTAATACATTTAGAAATCAAGCACTTTTGAGATTTAGTACAATACACATTGTCATCCTGAGACACATTAAAATCCTAAATACTGCAATTTATTTCACAAACTCTGACAAATCATTTGGCATCACAAATACAGTCTCTCCTTATATTGAGCTCACATTTTTTTTTCTCATAAATGTAAATTTCCCTCTTTTAAATTGGTCAGAATCCAACAAGAAATTCATTCGTTTACAAGCACACTGATCAACACTTCTATACTGATGCAGCTCTTCCCAGTGAACTACATTACATCTGATTTCCATAAACTTTAGTCATTTATATTTCTCTCCACATCTCAACCCATCACAAACCTGCAAAGCACATTGGGTCATATTGTTCCAAGCACCGATTGGCAGCGAGTCACCCATGTTCACCAAGCACACCTGAGAACATTGCAGGCTTTAGAAGATGGGAGGACTTCTTACTCATCCTGATGAACAGGCCACTTGAAAGCATTTTAACACATCTATAAATATTGCTATGGACATTATAATACAGTACAGTGCATCATTGGCTCGTTCCCTTGAGAAAAGGGTTCAGTGCGTTAAGATCGCCACCAGGGCTTACTGTAGGTCCCAGTAACTGTAAAGACATCCAGAATAAGCCTCATCTCCACGGCCCCTACACCATCCCTCTAAAGCATAGCTGAGCCAGACTGGAATTCTTTCCATGTTATGGAGAAAGATTTGGGAAAATTGCTTGGCTTTCCAAAATCAGAGGGGGAACACCTTGCAAAGTGTGGCGCTTGAGAGGCAGGTTTAAGTCCTTTGCCACTTTCCACGCTTCTTACAGTCTGTGGGAATAATAATGACACTTATGAAGGCTTACGCCTTTAGTGGCCGACGTTCCCAAGTCACTATGTAGGCAGGAGAAAGGCAGCTGTCAGCAGGAGAAAGAGATGGCTAGTGGAGAACTGGCGGGTTCAGGCCTCGCTGCAGCACTCGTAGATGTTGTCCTCCACGAGGGCAATGACCTGCTCGAACTTGTGGTGCAGCTGAGTGCGACGTGCGGTGGGGTTCGACTCCAGAGCGCTCACCACCTGACCGAGGGAGATAGAAAAGAAAAATGCAACATAGGCTTTTAGCGGCTGTCGAGCGTTCATGCGTTTATCTATCTGGGAAAGGGAGGAAATCAGCCACCTGCCTGGACATAGAAAGTTGAGCGAACAAGCAGCAGAGGAACAAGTGAAGTGCTTCAGCCTCTTCTCCATCCTTCACGCACGCCTCCACACCACAAAAGCCTTTGCTCTTCACATATTTACAAAACCCACATCTGCTCTGTTTTTCATGCCCAATAGTTGTCACGGTGTCAGTGGGATTTATGGGCTCTTAGCGGCGGTGTGCTACGAGGCAGAACGAACTGAGCTGGGGCGAGAGAATAGGCAATCAGGGGCCATTCACAGAGCTCCGTGAATCAGAGTCTAAGTCCCCGGGCCCACGTCAGTACAGTAGCATGACAGAGGAGAGCAGCTAAACGGTATTATCATGAGGGTGCTCCATTAAGGCACAGTCACCACTGACTAAGCCTCTTCTGAGAGTAGTCACCAGCAGTAAGGAAACATGGGGGAGGACAGCAGGGGCTTGAAGAGTGCTTGTTCAAAGAGAAACAGGAGATGTGAAGCAACAACTTAACGGTGTCATTACGCAGATGAGGGTGAATGATAAAGAGAGGGTAAACAGCACGCTGTTTGCTTGAAGTGAAAGGTATACGTGGGCTGGAGGGGAGGATTGAACAGCTGTTTACAGTGTACTACATCTCTCAACATGCACACGATCCTCCACACTGATGCGTCACGCTCCGATACCCGTCTATGAAACTTAAAACGGCAAAAGCGGTTGACTGTGGTGTTGTGGCTGCAGAGACGGGCCGGTTTAAACACGAGTAACATATCTGATCCGACATCAGAAAGAATCTCTTCTCTCACCTGGTTTCTGTATCTCTTGGCGTATTTGTAGATTTCTGTCAAGGCCAGGTTGGTGTTGAATTCATTTCTGTACTTCTACAAGACAGACAATAGACTTATATTAGACTCCATGAAAAAAAAAAATGTATGCAATGGCAAGGTTTTGTGGAGCCAGGTCACGAACACACGGGGACTTTTTGAACACATTACTCACTCGTGACTCCTCAGCCAGGTGAGCGTTCATCTCCTGCTCGCTGAGAGGGGGCATGTCCTGTATCTGCTGGTAGTAGCACTGCACTCTCTTCTTATACTCGGGGATCTCCTTGGCATACAGCAGCTTGTTGGTAGGGGAGTCCTGAAATAAAAACACATTTCAGTCAGGACATTTTTCATCATTTTTTGCAGCATGTATTTTAGTTGGTCGGTGTGGCTCTGGATCAAATGTGAGCATGCTCGACACAGACTGTCCTTTGGGCTCACCAAGCCCAAGACACACAGCATTTTACGAACATAACCACATGCACAAATTCATGTACTACTGAATGCTACAGCGGGCTGGAAGCTAAAAGCAATGTACCATCTTCTGCAGGTTAATTAATAATTCAGCACCGGACCTTAATCTTGAATGAAGAGGTTTGTATATTATTGCGCAGTCTGCAGTGAGGTGCTACTGTCCTAATAAGGAGCTGTTCAGTTAAACTGGATGTTATTAGTCGATGACCCGATCTAAAGTGAGAGGGAGGGAACAGTTTCCTTTTTGCACAACAGGAGACGCATAAACTCCAGAGCCAGAGAAAGAACATTCCAGTCCAAACAATACTCCTTCACAGCTCTGCCACTCTCTCCACAGTCACTTCAGGCTCTGGTGCTTATTCAAGCAAGAAGAAAAGTAGCGGGGCTAAGAGGTTGTGGGCACACTCGGGTTTTAGTGGCGACTACTGTTTGCGAGTGAGTGTGTGTGTGTGTGTGCCAGAGAGAGGGGGACGGAAAAGAAAGTAGGACAGGGGAGAAAAAGATGGCCAGCCTCAGCTTTCAGCATCAGCGAATGTACTTACAGCGCACCTTATTATTCCTGTGTGTCATGAGTTATTTGTGTCACCTGATGTGCGTGTTTGTTTGCATGTGTGTGCATGTTTATGGGCATTTAAGCTGGAGGGGGGGAGTGGAAAGCCTGTGGCGGTAGTCGCTCCTTCTGATAGGGAACCCTCTCTCTCTCTCTTCCTGTCCGCAAGGTCACTTCCTGCTGCTCGCCCATCTGCCCGGTAACCCCCCTGTGACCCCGTGGCCCTCCATGTCTGCATCTCGCCAGATAAAGAGGGTTTCAGTGGAAACAGCAAGGATTGCTTAGTTTTCCCGCCCCTCTCTCTCTCACCGTGCTGTGCTCCGGCTAATCCAGACCCCGTACCCTTCACTGCCCTGTCCCCAGGCAATCACACACACACACACACACACACACACACACACACACACACACACACAAGCAAATGACTGTCAACACTTGAGGAAAATGTAGCGGTGTGTCATGCCAGTCTCCTTGACCTACAGGACCTACTGTGTCTGTGGACAGATGCGACATGTAAATGAGGAGGTTTGTATTATGTACGTCTTTGCTTCCATTAGGTATGAACCTGCCTGGACGGAGACCAGAATATTTCTGCCGTGAGAGCGCTGGCTCTTTGGCTCTGAACTGAAGTTTATAAATCAGACTGTTTCTCGGTGAAAGAGGAGCATCATTTGATGAGTCCTCAGCTCCCTCCGGGGAGGAAGCCAGTCAGAGAGAGACAGGAAGCAGAGCGTGCTCAGGGTCACGGTGTCTGAGGGATGAGACGGATTTGTGAGCAGTGAGGACATTCACATGCAAGCACACACACACACACACACACACACACACACACACACACACACACACAGACAGATAGACAGACAGACAGACATATGCACGCCTGAGCACACACTCACACTCACTCTCACATAGCACAAAAAGAGATCCCTGGTGCTCATGACCTTGGATCCGCCGACTCGGCTGAAATAACATGAGGAGAGGTAGATGGAGATGACAGTCTGAAGGTTTAGGGATAGGGGTTCACAGGGGGACTGAGGAGGTGTGTGTGTGTGTGTGTGTGTGTGTGGTCAAACTCAGAGAGACGTGAGGCAAAGATACTGCGTGAAGTGTAAGGGACAAATATGTCAAAAGGTTTAAGTCATGACTGATTTGTATGGCGAAAGCACTTGTATACGTATGGTATATATGACTATATGAAAGTTTTAATGATACTATGACTTTTTTAACTGACATTTTTTCTTTGTAAAGGAATATAGTCGCACACTCATAGCCATAAAAATAAAAAAAACAACTATGCAACTATATTCCTTTCCTCTTGTATTTTCCCCGTGTCAGTACCTCTCCTAAACTGGTTTCTATTCCTCCTCTATCTCATGCCGACACTTTTTTGGACATTTTCTTTCAGTAGTATGTCTGCACGTCCGTATCATCCCTCATGAACACGATATC